AGACGTGTGCTCTTCCGATCTCCCCAAAACCCCAAAACCCCTAAATGACAAATTTATTCAGTTGTAAGGTTTTTTATTAATCTATTAAAGTAAATTAATTATGAAAATTTCAAGGAAGAATGGAGGTTAGCGATCATAGCCTAGAGCTGGAAGTTAGCACTTTAAATAAAGAAGTAAAATCAAGAGTCCTGGATAAAATGGGAAGCAGGGCTCTTAATCAATTGTTTAGTAGCAACAATAGAATTGAGGAAATCAAAGTAACCAAGAAATCAAGCAAGAAAACGTCATCTCAAGTGCGAAAAACGATGGCACTCCCTAGGTCAAGTTATTTAACAATCACTTCTCAAATCAAATAACTCAGCAGTACGAATAACTTGGCCAGGAAAAGAAAACTAAGTATAAAAAGAAAGAGTTTCACTCATCAAAAACTGCATTAGAAAAGCTATGCATTAACTAATAGCTACCTCATATAATATCTCAAAGACCTTCATTATTTGGAAATGCAGTTCTTTAGCAAAATTTGATGTCTGCTGATAACAGTCTCAATGAATCTGAAGGAAATATGATCATAAATAACATTAACGTCACATCAAGTAGTAAAAGAAACTAAACAGCAAAGTATGCACAGGGTAATCCTGCAAGGGCGTTGAGGTAGAAATTAAAAGCTGAGTAAAATATAGTAGTTGAACCTATTTTGATAACTTAACCAGGAAAGTCATCAATTACAAAAAGACCTTAGTCCTCAGCCCCATCAACTGGAGTTAAGATAAGTGGCTAATAGATTACCAGGATACTGAATGAAAGAAATAGTAGTAAAGAAAAAATATACGTCTAACCCTAGATCAGTAATTAACATTAGTCCTCTCAGAATTTACCGATAAATGGCTGCGATTTTATTTAGATCACAGGAATTACCTAGAGACCATCAGATATGTCTGTGAACGCAGCATCTCAAAACACAACATAATAATAATTTTTTGACAAAAGAAAAATTACTCAGAGTCGTTAAAATACATTATCATTCAATTATAACAGTAATCAGCCACCTGTTGCTTAGTAAAGATTGCTAAATTAGTAAAGTTTTTAAGATAATAACGCGGCGAAAAAATAGGACGGTATATAAATGCTTCCATCTACCAATAAGCACTATAAAAGGACAAAGAGAGAGTATTTTGGAAGAAGGATGTCAAGTATTGATAAGCCTATCATAGTTATCACATTTCAAGGAGTGATTGGGGATTTTATCAGATCTTAGCTTTTCATATCAGCTAAGGATCCAGATCAATAAAGTACAATTCAAAATCTCTAGATTAGAATCGGTGCTGTTTAAGGCTTGAAATTTCTATGCAAAAATTTCTAGGTTGTCATTATTAATAATGTGGAGAGATCTTATATTACTACAAGTAAAGATATTTTAGAGAGGATGTAGTAGCTCTTACAGTAGAATGATATTTGTGTCGATGCAATTTATTCGATAAATCATAAAAATAAAAATGAAGAATTCATTTGTGAAGACTATAGATAAATATACATAGATTTCAATTTGAATAGCATGAAGAAGGTTTAAGAGAAAGTCGTATTTATACATCCTCTAGATATCGACTGGATGGGATGCCTAGAGGAAATCAAAATTGATAAAATGGGTTATTTTTTATTTGACTATTCTTGCAATCCTCCAAAGCCGTTGGTGTAAGTTAAAAATATAATTATCTAATTACTATATAGGAGAGGATTACCTTTAAGTGTTAACTATCATTACAATAAAGATGAATCCTTAAAAAATGAAACTAATTCAAATCATATGCCTCTTGTACTTCTCGTACCTAATCCAAAGGGATCTTACTCATATTAGTCAACAACATTAAGTTTCATTTCAGTTGTGAAAACTTTAATGAGCATAGCAGCATTAAGTTAAAATAAAAATAAGACCTTAGTCGTTGATTTTCAGAAATTAATAGGGATTAAAGAATGGGATATAACAATATAAAATAACGTTTTAAGTTTTAACCTATCAACTGATCTGTTATCTAACTAGGATATCTTGGCTTAGAAAGATGATGATTATGAAACAACTTGCACATCCTCAAATGGTAATAATTAGGAAAATCTTGGTAGGCTACATAAATAAATGAAGAGTTTCCACTAATTGTCTTAGAATTCCTTTGAGATGCAATCAAATTAATACAGGTCTCCATCTTCTAATTCAGAAGAAAAAGTTAAAAACAAGGGAATAGACTTTGAGTAGTCATCAAGAGTCTTTTAACTTAATGATGCATTTTTCTAGAATATAAATTGGAACAAATACATAGAAGTAAATTCTTAGGTTCCAGAAGGAGGTTAAAGACTATTTGGATCGAGAATAGTTCAAACTGATTTACTAAGCAGATATCTTAAAAGTAAATTAGAGGATCATAAAAAATAAAATGAAGCTAGAGAGGTTAGAATCGACTTACTTAAGACATAAAAATAGACACCTCTTAAAATACCATCTTTAACTGGTTAATAAAACAAGGCTTAAAAAGTTTTTAGCAACATTTATGAAATTCTAAAGGACAAAAGATCAAATGGAAACCCACTAAGTAATATGATGAACCGAAATCTAAGAGCGTTTGAGACAATCAAGAATGATCTTAAAAAGTCGTCAACTCGTGAATTAAATAATTGGGATAGGGAAATCTAGGAAGCATACTAAAGTAACTAATTCTAGTGTTACAGATTGAGTGAATTCGAAGCTCAAACATTTATTAACAGATTCATAGTTATTGGTCTAGATGAGCCTCAGGCCTGCTACAAAACTTTATGCTAAGGTCTAGACAGATACACCGGTCCACTGGCTTCTAATGATATAAGAGTAGACTAAGATCTAGACATTGACAATAATGCATATAAAAAAGCTAGTTTAATGAGATGGCTTCAGGTTAACAACAATGGTTCTTAGATTAGGAGGCAAAGAGATGCAAGTGCTAATTCTAATGGCAAAAGACCAAGTAGTGTAAGTTCAGCTGGGGCTTGTTGTGGTGGAGGCAAAGGCAGCGGTAGAAGTTTCGCAGAAACCTCAGTCACTGTCATAACCAACATTTGAATTGTGATATATATAATCTAAATAGAAAGTAATTAGAATCTGATGTTATAATGTTTAACTTATCTCTTTCGATTCCTCATTTAAGATATATAATTATAATTTGTCAAACAATAATTATGTTTCCTCAAAATAACACCGGAAAAGTAAAGGGCTCTAATTCTGCTAAAAAAGAAAGCAATCGGAGTAGCCCCTCAGAAGATAAATCTCTTTCTTACCTCTCTTAAGCATTTTAACCCAGTCAAGAATCGCTCACAGTTACTGTCATCCCTTGTGGGCGTGAGGATGGGAAGAACTCTGAGGAGGAAATGCCGTATGAGTTAATAATCAAGAAAAAGGGTATGTTAATGATCAGATAATCTCAATAAATTTAGTGACTGAGCATAGTTTGAAAGATATATTCTCAAAGAAGAGTGAAGTATGGGAGACAGTATTCAAAACTCATCTAGACTAAGAAGCTATTCCAAATTTCAGCATTTTTCGGCGCTAATTTGAATATGAACAAGACCCATCTAAATCAGAACTATGTATGATTTTTCAATTATGATCATTTCCAATTTTAGATCTGCATATTCTTTACATGAAGAGCCAAGAAAAATCTCTTGCTCGTAATTATAACGCTGAGTAGCTGGAGCTGTTTTGTCATAATAGATTTTATGGTCCATTGGTTGTGGCATACAACTTCAATAAATCACCATATCATCTTTATAATTTCAGTCTTGCAGATCTGTCCAATATAGAAAATATAAATCGTAACTTTCAAAACAAGAGTAACTATCCAAATTTGGGTTAAACATCTTTGTAATAGGTATTAAAGACGATTATGTACCTGAATGTCTTCTTGAATTTGATCCCTTAAAATAAGACTTAGATAAACTCTTTAAACCTGAAAATATGGAAAGGTTCACATTCTATATGTTCAAGTACAAGAGTAGCTGGTGCCCTAACAAAAAGGATTCTCACGATTCTAAGAGCTGTATTTACGCTCATCACACCAGAGATTTCAGAAGACCTCCTGATATTTTCAAATATTCCCCTGAGGATTGTGAAACCTTGACTAAAGGAATAGGGTAAGATTACATATTTTGCTTTTTCATATATTAAATACTAAATATTATAGATGGGATAAATGTGAGAAAGGACTGAAATGTAACAAATGCCATACAACTGTCGAAAGATTATACCACCCTGACAAGTACAAGAGAATCTATTGTGACGTAAGATAGCTACTTTTAAATAAACCTTTTTAGAAAACAAGATGTAACAATTCCGACATATGCGCTTTTAACCATTCCCAAAAAGAGAGATAATAAGCTCTGAAGGAATGCTAAAAATATAGAAAAGGGGTTGATCAGAAAAACCATCTTTCAGACATCAACGATCTTTAAAGGAGGCTAAATGAATACTACCGCAACCAAAATCAAATGCACTCAAGCTACTAGAATTAAAGCATAAGTTTGAAATCAAGCCTCATTGAGGATTAGAAAGAGCAGCATTTATCTCTTAGAGATAGTAGTTCTTCATCAGCAAAAAGTATCTAATGTGAAGAGTATAAAGCTCATTTATTCGACTCAGATAATTACTCAATCAATGTATCACCTCCATAACAGTATGAGAGCAATTACGCTAATACACTTCAACTTAATAATAATCTTAGAATGAATCCAATAAGTTCACTCCTAGATTAGAGCTCATAAGCTTTTCAACCAGGATATAGGTAGAATATATGCTAGCCTCCAATTAATATTGTTACTCAATAATAGTAGATCTATTACAATGTCCAAAATTAGCAGTAAATGAATATGATCAACCAGCCTATGTAGAATCAAAATTACAATATAATCCAAATGAATAATTCAGCTTAATAGCAAATAATGCAAACCTAAAGCATAAGCTAATTGAACAACATGCATCATATTCAGCTTATTCAAAATCAATAATCATTAGCCAATAATGGGTGTTACTTTGAAGAAAAAATAAAAGACCAAAATAAGCTACAAGTGAACTTATTTGAATACGGTGATTTTGAGAACCCTAAAACAAGAACTAGCACCTTTTCAAAGGCTTCAGAGGGCAGAGAGGAAATCAAGAAAAATCAAGTAACTTTCCTGGATGTATTTTCTAATCCACATTTCCTCAAGCCCGTCGATGATGAAGATTAATAATCACCTGCTTACTTAAATAGATAGCAGAGTGGTAAATCTCCATCAAACTTTGCATCCCCTATTATCCTAGACTTTCTCGAAGACGACAATTTCTTTCAGGTTGATGAATCAAGGCATAAGAGCAAGACTGAGTTTGTCAGAAGAGATAGGCAGGAGTCTGAGGACTCTAACTAGGACGACTTTCCTCTGCAAAGGGATGCTTAGGAATATCTTAATTCTATCCTACCCAATAATTCTATCAAATTCAAAAAGCATTCTCAATCGGTAAGTCAATAAATAATTCATAACATTTTACTTTTAGAGATTCTCATTCTCGAATCAAAAGAGAAAGTGAGTCAAGAGCGAGATAGCTTTAGTAATTATTTTGTTTCAAAGGAGAATATCCTTTGCAGCAAACATCTAATTGAAATAATCTAGCTTAAATCTCTATAAATAATATCGCAATTAAAATCTATGGCCAAATACCGATCAAAATATACTATAAATAAGTACGATCTACGTCATGGGGTTTTGGGGTTTTGGGGTTTTGGGGTTGGGGATGTAAAGTCATTCATTGGAG